CAATGAATCAAAAAATCACTGATTGTGACGCTCTGAAAGCGAAATTAATTGGTTTTATGAGCCAAACACACACTTTACATCCTCTTCTTGTTACTTGCAAGTACAACATATCATTATGTCATCTAATGATTTCGTAATTAAAAAAAAATTGTACAGCAAGTGAGTGGAAGCTGCATGCATCACTACCGGATCTCCAATGCTGAGAACCATGAAATTTTTTATCGGAGTCTGATATGAACTGCAGCAGAAGCAGACTTTGACACTCATAGCGACGAAGTTTCATTTGAAAAATAAAAACAGTCAACGAAAAGCAGCGGCATTAAATTATATGCATCACTGTTGAACTTTAGCCCGACAATAACCGACCCTCAAATTTGTCACACCCTGATAGAACCTTTTTATCTCAGCTGATTTGGTTACTTTCAACCTTCACCTCCATGTATCCCGAATCTGATAGCGACTCTGCTCAAGCTCTCAAAAAATAAGCGTTCGGAAAAATGTTTGAAATGCATTCGCTCTCTCAATTCACCGACCGCAGGCAGCACGTTGTTGATGAGGGACCGTTAGCACCAACCCTCAACAGAGCCGATCTCACCCGGGAGCTTATCAGCAATGCTTCGCAGCAGGGGAAATCTGCACCCGAAACCAGCACCCGGTGTGCTATCAATCCACCAGGCGCATGCGCTCTCTCGATCAACATTTACATCAGTGTTCGGTGCAGCATCCACCGAAGTCTTTCAAGTTCAACTTGGAAGTGCGCTCATTATCGCCTATGTATGGCAGGCAACTGGGACCGACCAAACAGAAAACCCCATTGCATCCCTTTCAGCAATTACTTTTTACAGCTACACCAAATTCACCTGAACCCGAGACAAAGTTGGATTTTCAACTTGCTTCCTTTTCTAACGTTCCCACAAATGGTTCCTCACAACCACCCTTAGCCAGGGAACGTGCGGAAATTTTCCGTAGTCTTTTTGGGCACGCCTGACTGTTTGTTTTGCTCTCGTTTCCCGGACCTACCTCGGGGTGCATTTATTGGTATGTCGTATGCCTAGTCGCTTCGGCAGTCCACTTGGTCATGCTGTGAAATGGTTATCGGGTGGAATCATTGTCATCACTCCTCGTACCCTTTTAACTTGCTCGTGTGGAGAGCGGACCCTGGGTTTTGGTACTGCTTTTGCACAGTAATTTAACTTCCAACGTAGAAGTAGAGGTAGTAGTTGGACCGAGCAAGTGACCGACCGAAGCATGTGTTTCTATGACAGCGGAACCATAACCTATGTCATGCATTGCTGCATTACTGGGTGAGAGTCACAAAGAAAGGCTTACTCTGACTGTGGGTAGTGGAAAGGAGGAAATGTTGTGTTGAAGTGGGTTATTTGGGTTTGTGGGAATGTTTATAATTTATTGATACTGTGTAATTGGGCAGACAATTAAAGCGTATTGAAATTTGATTTTAATACATTTGTGTGACCTATAAACAGAATTCCACCTTGAAATATTTCCGATTCAAATAATTTGAGTAGTATATCCATTTGTCAAAGTAATCATACCAGTATCAAAAAGACTGGAGATCTTATCAGTAATACTGATAATTTTAATTAATCGTGAGTCCAAGAATTTCGTCTAAGTTTTTAATTATAAGTGAGTTCGTCGTTCCGCATTTGATAAGTACAGTCAGGAATCCTTATTACCGGATTCCTTATTGCCGGGCTATCCGCGAATAAGGATACCCACAGCTTATTGGATTTTCACTAATAGGGGCTTTTCTCATTTGTTTCAATATATAGAGCTATACTGTGTACGAAAAAGTTGTTGTACTGGGATAGACCAACAAGTCTGTATCATTGAATTCAGGTTTAATTGAGAACTACGCCGCTAGAGACGCTTCACTTTTATGTTACTTATGACGGGTGCTATAATATATGGATCCTGGCCATATAGAAAGTTACTGTCTTCAGCAAAGTTGTTCAGATGATAATGTCTTTTTGTATGATGTTCATATCAGTTCAGAACTCTCTCACTATGCAGCGCTAGTGTGCATGTAAACTTCCAATAGAAACTGTATCTCGAGAACCTGACCATATAGAACGTTTCTGTCTTCAGCAAAGTTGTTCAGGTGACCAAGTCCTTTCTGATGGTGGTCATATTATTTAAGAACTCTCTCACTACGCAGCGCTAGTGTGCACATGAACTTCCTTAATATGTTATGTCTGAAAAGCTTGTCCATATAAGATGTTGCTGTGCAATGTGAAGACACACAACGGAATAGGGAATACTTGTAGAGAAGCTTGTAATCGATTTCGGACGCCATTTTAAAGTCCAAGATGGCGTCCATCGATTCAAGAAAAACTGTCAAATACCCTACTATATGGGTATTTTCGGAAAAGGAACGACGTGTAGAGGCTGGAAATCGATGCCATACGCCATTTTGAAATCCAAGATGGCGGCCATCATTTCAAGAAAAACTGTAAAATACCCTACAATATGGGTATTTTCGGAAATGGGATGACGGGTAGAGGCCGGAAATCGATGCCAGACGCAATTTTGGAATCCAAGATGGCGGCCATCGGTTCAAGAAAAACTATTATATGAGTATTTTCAGAACGGGAACGACGTGTAGAGGGTGGAAATCGATTCTAGGCTACATTTTAGAAATCCAAGATGGTGGCGATCGGTTCAAGAAAAACTGTCAAATGCCCTACAATATGGATATTTCCGGAAAGGGGACGACGTGTAGAGGCCGGAAAGCAATGCCAGACATCATTTTGTAAACCAAGATGGTGGCCATCGGTTCAAGAAAAGCTGTCAAATACCCTACAATATGGATATTTCCGGAAAGGGGACGACGTGTAGAGGCTGGAAAGCAATACCAGACATCATTTTGTAACCCAAGATGGCGGCCATCGGTTCATGAAAAACTGTCAAATACCCTTCAAAATGGATACTTTGGAGAGGGGATGACTTGTAGAGGCTGGATATCAATTCAAGTCGCCATTTTGAATCAAAGCTGGTGGGCATAGGTTCATGAAAAACTGTCAAATAACAAAATATGAGTATTTATTTTGGATATGGAACGACGTGTAGAGATCAAATATCTATGCCAGACGCCATTTTGAAATTGAAGATGACGGCCTTTGCTTTAACGTAAACTTTTAATGGGGATGACGTGTTTAGGCCCAAAATCGATGTCTGGCACCATTTTGGGATCCAAAATGGTGGCAATCGGCTTTCGAAGGGACTATGAACAGCCGCGTATCAGTTCAGCACAGTTAACGTGGACCGTGTACACCCCGATAATCCACTACGAAGATGAATTTTGTCTAATTAATGTTTTAGGGTATTTTGAAGCTCAAAATCTTGCCTCGTATTAATTTTCCTGAATAATGCTTACCAATCTTACTACGTATAATTTGTATAATTTGAATAATGTGTATAACGTATCATTGAGCAATATGGCAACGTTTTGGCTTATATTAATAGTAATTGAAATTATCTCGAATGATGTTATGCAGTCCAAAAATCTGGTCGCACAACGTTTAGTGTGTGTCGGAAACCGCGGGTATCATATTTCACACAGTTAGAAAAAGAAGCGTAAACCCGGAGAACATTGAGATTTGGGCGTAATTGCTTTTGTAAACAAACACGTCAATCGCCGATTGCTCGCGAATAAAAGCTCAAACTCGCAAACAAACTACACAGTTTGAAAAGTAGTGTAAATTTCTGTTCAATCATAAATGGAGCGTCACATATCATATAAGTTTACTTTATATATCATGTAAAGTTCTGACACATTTCATGCAATGTAGCAAATATTGTATACAAAAGCCCATCTTTGTAAACAACATTGTTTACAAGTTGCTCGGTTTCGTGAAATTAAATTTAAGTTTACGTGCATGAATGTTTACATCATAAATAAAATTCTGAATTTTTATCTGTGTATAGTAAATGATAGAAGAGTCATTCCTCTACCTGTTTGTGTTGTTAATTTTCGAGATTGAGCTTTAATTCGCGAGAAATCTTTGATTGACGTGTTTGTTTACAAAAGCAATAAAAAAAGCAATTACGCCCTAATCTCGAAGTTCTCCGGAAATTTCTGTTCAATATGATGCACATAAATGGAACGTCACATATCATATAAGTTTACATTATAAATCATGTAAAGTTCTGAGACATTTCATGCAATGTAGTAAATATTGTAAACAAAAGCCCATATTTGTAAACAACATTGTTTACAAGTTACTCGGTTGCAAGAAATGAAACACAAGTTTACGTGCTCAACTACAATTAAAATACAGAATTTGTATCTGTGCATATTACTTCCTCACGCTCAACCACTGACAAGGTACCACGTTCTACGCTCTGGAAAATTTTCTTTCCTCTCTACATTGGAGCTAAAACTGATTATGTGTGGTTTCTTATTGAATATTGATCGAAAAATCTTTACTTATGAATGCATGTACGCGTTCAGTATCAGATACACCTAAGCTGACACTAGGTGCATCAACCCTTATCAATGGCATCCTTTAAAACATAAGACGCTACAATCTTCTGCAACTGTTCATCCGTCAACCTGGCAATCCCAACACAGCCAACCCACTACTGAGTAGCCCCGCCCCCGACCGATATGAGTGTATCCAACTCAAAGCTCCAGAATGATTGATAACCCAAAAATATGAACATGTTGAAAAAATGTTAAAATATGATGAAGGTTTAACGATCGAATGGAGTCGAATTAAATTACACCAATATTTCTCTATGTTTGATTCTAGTTGCCCAACCCATGTCACCATTGAATATGAGTGTCAACAAATCTATAATAAGCACAAAAATGAATTGACTCTGCTCATGTGTCAATCGCTCAATCAATTTAAAAAAAAAAAACCTTTAAATGCACATTTTATACATTCTACAACTGTAGATATTTTTACACCGAATCAATGAGACCTGAAAACCACAGGGACCGTGAATCATTCATTAATTACGCATGTACTGGGTGATATTTATTAATTTTAATTAGTAGATATCGATTTGAGGTGGAGTTAAAAATTAATATCCCACCCGGATGTCTCATCTGGCGGTTCGTCCTGATCCTTTGGATACTCGTCGAAGTTGGACAGGTCGGTGTCGGATTGGATTGGTCGCACCAGTGGAGCCAGGAGGGTGCGCTCTTTCAGCCGTTGCCATCCGAAGTCCGAGAACCACCTGCAGAGGCACACAATGAAAATAACAACAATAATAAGATTAATTTTAATTCAAAATTTAATTTCCATGCTGGGTAATCGACCCGCTTGTGTAATCGACACCTGGATTACTTACGGGTGGTTTTTAATATCTGCGATGCCATTTTTACCGTAACCGAGCCGTTCGGCCGGAATCTGCCGACAGAGCCGCTTTATCAACACCTGAGACTTTTTCGGAATCCTCGACGGCAGCTCAATAATATCGATTCCCCTCAGAATGGCATTATAGGTTTTCATGTGGTTTTTCCCACGGAACGGAGGTTTTCCCACCAGTAGCTCGTGAATGAAAACGCCCAACGCCCAATAATCCACCGCTCTATCGTGGCCCTTGTTTAGAATAATTTCCGGTGAAACGTACTCCGGCGTTCCGGCAAACGTCCACGTTTTCTGGTTGGCTCCGATCCGCTTGGCGAAGCCAAAATCGACCTGAAAAAAAGTTAATCGTAGTCGTTTATCAATCATAGTGACGATGGTTCGCGGAAGTTCACAATCCTACCAGCTTGATGTAGCCCTGCTCGTCCAGCATCAAATTCTCCGGCTTCAGATCCCGGTAGATCATGTTCCTGCTGTGTAAATACTCGAACGCCTCGACCACGCACCCGGCCATGAAGCGTGCCGTCCGTTCGTCAAAGTGTTTGTTCTTCTGCAGGATCGTCCACACGTCGCCCCCGAGGCAAGCCTCCATCAGAAAGTACAGATACTTTTTATCGCGGTACGTCTTGTACAATCTGCCCGGGGCGAGAGGGAAAAAGATGGGTGATAATCAGTGGCTTTTATCTAGCTCTATGAGCAGGTAGGGAAAGCTGCTTCGCGGTACGCAATACATTCCAGTGACGTGGGTCAAAAGGGATTTCCGTGGCTGAATGTTACACAGCTGAACTGTTACCGATGGTAGAAAGTGCTGTTTATCTTGATGGCGTAGGGCAACATCTTTGCTGAAGGTGTAGCTTATTATTTCACCGCAGCAGCACTGGGTTATCTCAATACGATACGATTGAGCTAATTCATGATAATTATTTGGTATAAAACATTTACAAATCGATAGCTGAATCATTTGATAAAAATCGAATTCAATCTGCAAATACCATTTATAAGGCTCAATAGCATATACGCTTCACCAAGGGAAATGTTCACGAATCATAGTAATTGTGTGTGAACTTTTCCATCACTGGTCATAAGTATGGAATCATATTGCAACGCATTTAATATTGCATCACCTTGAAAAGTTTAGCATCACCCATAGAGAATGGTAATACTTGGGATGTGGTAAACTTTTCAAGGTCATGAAATATTCAATATGAGTGTTGCAATTTTGTTAACCGATTCTTCTCTTATGACGGATACGGTTTAGCTCTAATGTTGGGCCTACGAAGTACATCCTGCACTATATACCTCTCTTTTTTGAACGCATTTTTGGAATTTAATTTTTCTACTATAGAAATCTTCTTAATTGATTTACCTTTCCATATGTACGGTTGGCTATGATAAAGAACCATAAATTGTTTATAAATTGTTAAAAATACAACACTGCTGCTTGATTTCAAAATCGGTCTGTGGTTTTCAAATTCGTACATACACATAGGGACACTCATTGGGTTACTTCGTCATACGGATGAAGTCAAAAACGGAATGGAAAATGGAATTAGTTGGAGTGCTTATTTTGTTTTGCGAACAATCGGTGTAGGTAGGGTAAAGAACTACTTCGGTCTAATCGCCCATTTTGGGCCTATAGAGCAGAAAACTTCAAATAAATCCATGTTTTTAGAGTTAACAAGTCAATAATGCGTTCGGTACGATACTTTAGTTAATAAGCTACGGAATGAAGTCAATGAGAACGTGTGATATGAAGGTTTGCACCCATTATTCCCAAAAACAAAAGAAGTGCTCCGACCGAATCAATTTTTATCTTCATCCGATAGGCCGAAGTGAATTCATTGGCGATTCAATGCGTTAGGCCGAGTTTAGAATCCGTAGGCCGAGTTTGCGTCAAGAAGCAGTTTTAGACTTTTGACAATATCTCAACGATTGGTTTCTCTTTATCAAATCTTACGGTTTGTACGGAAAGGTAAATACATTTGGAAGCCATCAGTAATGATAAAATTCCGTTTGATGCTAAACTGCGCTAGCTTAAGAAAGACTAAGTGTGGGTTATGCTTAACAGGCCGGAAATGGGGTAGTTAATCCTATGTATTCATACTTTGCATTCTTATATTATAACTTTCTGTTGTAGCTTTTGAACTAAAGTATCAAACCAAACGTATAGTTTGCCGCACCTGTCATGGTGTTTACTCATGGTTTGTTCACTGATTTTTTTTTTTTTTGTTTATTGTATCAAAACTAGCTGAGCACAAATATTCTCATATAAAAGCTGTGCACCAAAATGCATTCGGCACTTTTGGACGCCCAGGCATTACTGTGCGCTTATGTGAGATAAATTGGGCGCTCTAACAATGAATAAATAATACTATACATATTTTTAGTGATAAAAATAAACGCTTGAAAATAATTATGCCAATAAAAAAAAAACTTTGTAGAACTACAGAGATGTTCAGATGACTAAAGGAGTGTCCAGAACTTCGGGATGTTTAATTTTCTTTAAGGGTTAGTTCTGAGAACTTCAGGACAGTTGCATGACATCCAAGAAAATTTGGTGAAATTAGATTCGTCATCTGAGAACTTCAGAGAAGTCCCATGAACATCCGAAAAATTGTGAGATCTTTAGGGAAGTTCCGAAAAAGTTGAAGACAACCTACAGAAATCATTCATGGTCTTTCTCGTTCCGTTTTTTTTTCCCGAAAATTATTGTTAAACAAGCTTCAATTAACTAAAATAAAGTGTCTTCCCCATCCATTTTTAAACGCCTTTACTACCAGTTCCCAGAGAGCCAAACACATTCATATAAGAGAGTGAAAGTTCTCTCTCCCGAGCTCAATCTATCAACATGCCATGTATTTTAATGACACTCTATTTGTGATTTCCCTCTCACAGATTACAAAATAGAGCACCTGACGCTGCTAAAGATTTTTTTTTTCAAAAATGATTTTCTTAAAAAAAATCATAACTTGTTAACCACTAGGCTTTTTTCAAAAATAAAAATATAAAATGAAAGGGAATTAAAAATAATTTTGAGAAAAAAATACAACAAAATCCAGAAATACAGATTTTGTATTGAAAAACATTGATTGTATTTGTTTTTTTTTATGGTTTTCATGGTTTGTAGATAGCGGCCGCTATACGATCCTTATCTCTAAAGGATCAACTATATGGATCAAATGTCAAGATCTAAGACTCAAAGGAGATGTTACCCATAGATACATAATGTAAAAACTTCACAGAGTCACAACACACTATATGAAGCAAAACAACATATACGAAGAACTATAATATCTTCAAGTCATCCCGAAGAAAAGATCTTGAAGGTCTACATGCTCAATTAAGTATATCTCGTTGTCCCGACTAATGGTACGACTCCGAAGAGCTTTGTAAGTGCCCATTACATCAGGAGAGATATATATTTTTATTAACAAAATATATCAGATTCTCAAAATAATCCTGAAGCTTAGATCTTGATGTTCTATAAACTCCACGAGACTTTGTACAAAGTTCAGACCTCAAGTAGTCTCCATATATATATATATATTATAGGGTCATCATCAAATGAAATTGGAGTTCAGATTTTGATGTTCTACTGACTCAAGAAATATTGTTCGATATTTTGACTAAATTTTTGCATTTAAGGAGTCACGTAGAGCCCTCTTATCTCATGTAGAATATATAGTTCAAATGAAAAAATAACTCGAGTAATCCAAATCATCCAGAAGTTAAGATTTTGAAATATTACCGGCTCAACCAAACTCTTGTACGATGTCCTGACTTATAATTTGGACCCATAAAGCTACATGGGACCTCATTGCATCAAGTGATGCACATAACTGTGACGACAAAATATGTTCCATTCTCCAAATTGTCCAGGAGTTCAGATTTTGACGTTTTAGAGATTCTACGAGGTTTTGGACGACGTCTCGACGGATTTTGTGGAGTGAAAAAGATTCGTGGAGTCCCATTACATGATGCGGGCTATACATAACTTTTGGTACATCATACAAGTCACTGTTGAACTTATAGAACTTGAAGATCTTAACTTCATGATATGTTATGTTATCAACATAACTATGTATTGAACAGAATGCTTTGAGCTTAATGAAGCTTAAGAAGATCAACAATCCGATCGAAATATGGTGTACTACTAAGGGACATCACATAATACTTTTTTGAACCTAAAGAACATCAAGATCGAATCTTCAAGATGATCTGGATAATTTTTACTACCACGTTTGTCCTGTTTATGTTTCCAGCATTGAGATATGTCTTTCTGATCATACTGCTACAACATGAAGGCTCGTATTTTGAAAAAAAAACTCTGCAAATTTATGTATGTTTATGATTGTTTGAGGTTAAGGAGATGCGGCCCGTCAAAGTGTTCATGAATACCCTATTTTATACTTTTTCTTTGAATTTTTTTAAAATCATTTTGCTGAAGATCTGCTGATGGGATCTTGTTGGTAAAAATTCAGTTCTATTCATAACTACTATTACCACTTGAATTCCCTTCAGGATTCCAAAGACAAGTTTGCAAATACTCATTTCAGATTTAAAAAAAAATTGTTGAAATTATGGAATCATTAGATATTAAGATCATTTTTTTGACGTAGGACTACGTCTTTGATTTCTATATGGGGGTATACTTTGTGAAAACCGAAAATGGAACATGTAACAAATTAAGCAAGATTTTGAGCGTTAATAACTCAGTTGCCCCTGGCCCAATTTAAATACTTTTATCACTAATCGATCAGAAATATGGCTACGCATCGATAACAATGCTTTTGAATGTTGATTTTCAACAAGAAACTATTGAAAAACTGGTAAATGTCCAGCATTGTCCAAAAGCGTCGAATTAACTAACAAATCCACCAATTACCTACATGCATATGCTGCTTCCCCAGCACAGTCGTCAGAGAGTAGTAAGTAGACGAAACAAGTCGAAGTGGCATTCGCCTCCGATCCTCGGGCGCGTGCGGATAGGGTGGATGGAATTGCGTAATATTTTGCACACTCATCGTCATATTCAGAACCAAACGCAAATTCTTCGAGATAACCACCATCCGCCGTCTGGCTCGCCGTGGCGGTGTCTGTCGTATCTCCGGTCTGATTTACGAGGTGTACTGAAGGTGTTCCTGAAAAATGAGATCCGTGATGCTGTCACCTACACTAAACACGCCAAGTGTAAGCGGCCATGGATGTCATCTATGTTTTGAAGTGACAGAGACGCACGCTGTTAGGTTTCGGAGGTTAAATCATCACCAACTTTGACAACAAAACGGCTCTTTTCAGGGCCATCAAGCTTATTACAGTAAAGAGTAGGAATATAATTCATCTGCCTGTTTGTCCAAATATTCAGAACCAACGATCACACAAAATGCTCATGTAATCAAACTGGAAGCAGGGGTACAAATTATTTTGATCAACCTTGATCAACTTTAACGGCGCCGGTGGTGTAGTGGTAAGCGTGATTACCTCTCACCCCAGCAGGCCTGGGTTCAATCCCAGTTGGCGCCGCTGGGATGTTCTAAGGCATAACATCTCTGATCACGCCTTCCTTCGGATGGGAAGTAAAGCCGTTGGTCCCCGGTTCATGAGTTTGATGGGTCGATAGGTAGGGTCCAGGTGT